AGAGGAAGTAACAGTACATCCGTCTAGTTGCAAATTGTAATCCAAGAGATTCTGTGTACTGTCTTTTGGTCCAAAAAGTAATATCTCTGTGTTATCCGAATTTAATAGGAGAAAATTATTGGTCAACCATATCTTTTACATGTTAACACACTGCTGATCACAGCGTGAGTATAAGTAGGCAGCAGATGCAGCGCATATTCAGCTTTTTGCTTCCGAGCCGAACGGTTCTATCGTTCTGCTCCTGACCTTCTGCTTATCGAGTCTACAGTTTGAGTTCAAGCACGCTCTTCGAGGGCTCTCGTGCTGGCGGTACGGCGCTTCAGCGGCGGTGGTTTTCCCGTGTCGAGTGGGGGCGCCGGGTGATGGTCACGATCGCTGCCTCTCGTGTCTGGGCATTAAGAACGCTGAGGCAGCTTTCGTGGACGAGTCATGCTCCCATTGGACGAGTGCCTGTACCTCTGCTTAGATCTAGGGTTCCCTCTGGCGGCAGCCGGGGGCGCCCTACTTCTGTCACTGGTCGGACTGGTCTTATGGTGACAGTGAGAAACCGCCCCAGTGGCTCATCCTCCCTCACCACCCTTGATGGTGACACAGCGCGGGGGTACACGGAAGTTCCCCAGGTGGAGCGGTCGGTTGCGATGCAATTGTGTCCAAATGCCGCTACCACTTGGCGGGGCAAGCCGTTGCTCCCCTCCCGGGCCTGTAGACACTTGTCGGCTCTGATCGGCAGTGCTTATACGGCCTGTGGAGAAGCTACCTACGCCTTACACGCTTCGGCGTTGTTGCAAGTGCACCAGGCCAAGGCACTGAGGGACTTGCACAAGGGTGGTCACGACCCGGAAGTTCTCAGCGAACTCCGCACCGCGACGGACCTCGCGCTACGAGCGACGAAGGTTACGGCGTGGTCTCTGAGTCGTGCGATATCCACTATGGTGGTCCAGGAGTGCCATCTCTGGCTGTGTCTGGCCAACATGCTCGAGACGGACAAGACACGATTGTTGAACGCCCCCGTGTCCCAGACCGGCCTTTTCGGAGTTCGCCCAGCGCCCTCCCAAGTTCAGGGGCGTCCTTCAGGAAGGATGGAGCTTTCGCAACGTCCCTGTCCCAAGTGGAACGGGTATGTTTCCCCAGTGTTATCCAGTCTTACTGAGTGGGTAGTGCCATAGCAGCAGTAGCTGGTCCTCTTGTGGTAAGCCCTGCCCTGCGCCAAAAAATAGTGGCGCAGGAGGCTCCTACAGGACACTGGAAGGGGCCGTATCTGTGGCCTTTTGGTAGGGATCCCAATTCGTCGGTCATCCGACGTGACGTCGAGAGTGACCGACTGAAAGGGAACGTCTCGGTTACGTATGGTAACCCTCGTTCCCTGAAGGAGGGAACGGAGACGTCACATCCCGTCG